TGTCCCGCAGCCGCTGCTCCGTGGCCTCCCGGAGCGCAGGTCCCCTCTGGTCAGGTCCATTCCCCCACATCGGGCCTGAGGGCAAGTCACGGGCTCTGCTGAAGGTGTCCCTGCTCCTGGGGGTGACCGTGGCTGGGCCCCTGGCAGTAAGTGAGGGGGGAGCCTAAAGGAGCTTCACTTCCTCTCCAGTCAGAACCGTGCGGCAGGCTGCAGCCAAAGCCTCAGTCCCACAAATACCTAAATCAGGCACCTCAGAGGCATGTAGCTGTTCAGGGAGTAAGTGACCACAGGGGAGGAAAAGGAGGAGCGAGTGCTGAAGCTCTGGCTTGTTTTTTTGCTTTGTTTATTTTTTCCCAATACTCCCAACCTGACTCTCTTTACCTAATGCAGTTGGCATCGTTACTCTGTGAACGATGCGAAGGGCATCATCAGGCTCTTCTAGCAATGACCTCCCACAGCCCGTGGACCCGAACGCTGCAGTATTGCAACAACTGATTCAAAGCAGTCTTTTCTTGATGTGCCTGTGGGTCTCAAGAGAGTTAGATGAAGTGCCGAAAGAATCTCAGTGCGTGCAACATCCAGATCTGTTTTGTAGGATCATAGGACGGGAGGGCTGGAAGGAACCTCACATGGTTTAGTCCAGCCTCCAGCTGGAGGCAAGATTTTCCCTGACGAAACCATCCCAGCCAAGCATCTGTCTAACCTGCTCTTGAAAGTTTCCCAGGATGGAGATTCCACAACTTCCCTAGGTACCTGTCCCAATGCTTGATCTCCCTCATAGTTAGGAAGTTCCCCCTAATCTCCAACTTAAATTTCCTCTGTGGCAGCTTGAGGCCGTTGCTCCTTATCCTGTCCCCAACAGCCACAAAGAAAAGCCCATTTACATCCTCTCTGTAGCTGCCCTAAAGGCATTTGAAAACTGTCATCTCTTCTCTTATTTTCTTCAGATTAAACAACCCTAGTTCTTTCAGCCTTTCCTCATAGGTTTGGTCTTCCAGACCCCTGATCATTTATGCTGCTTTCTGCTGTAGTCTCTTTCAGACTGCCCACATGCTTCTGAAGTGCGGGGCCCAAAACTGGATATAATCAGGGCCAGCCCAGGGATGCCATGGTCAGGGAATGCTATGCCCCACCCCAGGCTGGAGGAATGGTGCCCAGCCCATCCCCCACCTTCTGCCACTGCTCAGGAGGAGTTGGGCTGGGCACGGCACATGCGGGTGGGGTGGCACCAGCTCCAGTCCACCTGCCTTGCTTTCCACACAGCAGCAGCAGCAGTGCCTACTCACAGGGAAGCAAGTCATCTAATCCAGCCTAGCTCCCCCTATGGCATTATTTCTGAAGGTTTAATTAATACTACTATATACTTAAAGAAAAAGGGTGCTAAAATACGAGTTTGTCCAGGGCTCTATTTTCCCTAAAGCCAGCCCTGGACATAATACTCCAGGTGAGGCCTCACCAGTGCTGAATAGAGTAGAAGAATCACTTCCCTTGATTTGCAAGCAACACTCCTGTTAATACAATCCAGTGTGCTATTGGTGATTTTGTGCAGCAAGAGTGCACTGTTGATTCATATTGATATTGATATTAAACAATCCTGGACCCAAGGCAGAGCTCTGGGGAACCCCACCTGATACCTCCTCCCAACTAGACATTGAGCTGTTGAGGAATACTCTCTGAGTATGATGATTCAGCTAGTTGTTTTAAGTGTTCCTTCACCTCTAAAAGTGGAAGCATTTCAAGAGCATAGACAAATTACTAGCTTGGCATCTTGCCATTATTGTCTGTTAGAACCCATATAAATGACTGTCAATTTAGATTAAATTGTAGAGGGTAAAAGACACTATGAATTTATTCTCTGTTGGTGATGGTGTTTGTATCCATTTTACAAGCAACATAACATTCACCTAAGATAAAAATACTGAATGTTGGAATATTGAGGTTGTAGTAGAAATTAGTTGCCTGCATGAGAAGACAACCTGATTTATAGATATGCTGTGAAATGTAAGCAAGAATCTATATTATCTGTGGTCTGAAATAGTTAATTCACAATACTTACAATACACTTCCCAATACTTGGTGTACTAACACCCTTCTTTAAAGATGTTTCTGTTATTACTATTTTAGAGAGTTTTTTCATTGTCAGTAACTGCTTTCAAATATATTCTCTAGTTTCCTATACAAGAATAGAAGAAATATTGTTTTGTGTTTATACCTAAAACTAATATTTCCCTGTTTTTCCTATTCTTCATCAGTGGGCCTATTAATTTAATAGGGTATGTGTTGTTAATTAGGTGGTGTTAATTTTGAGGCTGATAATGTTTTTAATGAAATTCTTACAGTTTCAGGACAACATATGGTGTAATTCATAACATAATGCTTTTGAGCTATACCTCATTGAGCAAAATTCACTTTCATGCCATTGATGTACATAAGAGTAGGTAAATCCAACGCATGATACAGAGGAGAAAGTTACCAATGGGAAGGAAACATTGTTTGTAGGAAGGGACAGTGCAGAATTTCCCTGTATAGCACGTGGCAAATTGGTGTATTTTGTTTTGTTATTAAAGTTTAAAATTTAGAGGAGGATTTAAAATGTTGTTTCAGTGATGAAATACAAATGGCAAGCCCATTGCTCTGCTACAGTATAAGTATTCTAATACATAACATGAATATTGCTAGTTTATCTTTACAGAATTCTGTTTTACTGCAAAATATTCTAGCAATATATGACTTAAAATGGTGGTATCTTATTCTTTACAATACTTCTGCCTTAGGTCCTGTTTTCTTCAGATCTGTGCAGCACATGGCAAGGAAAGATTGTAAATAAGATGCATTACACTCTAGCTCTGAGGATCCTAATCAAGACACTATTTCTTTTATTAAGAATAACTGAATTCCTACAGCATAAGCATGGAAATAGTCTTGCATTACCGACCAGGCCACAGTGACCAAACAGCATTGAGAAAAATTGCAGAAGAAGCAGTAAAGGAATTTCCTGTTCGGCAGCTCCCGAGATTTATACCTTGGTTTCCAGATGATTTGTGTGAACTTCCCCTTAAGCCTAAAAGAAAACCACCAGTTATTTCTGGTGAAGAAGCAGAAGAAATTAAACAACATCTTGGAGCGTCGGAACCCTTTATTCATTCTCTGTGTTATGACTGCGTAGCAGACCTTCAGGAGTTTCATCCTAACTTGAAAACTGGACAGACTTTAACCCAGGCACAAACTACAAATGGACACTTTGGTTCAGACAATCCAGAAAAAGAATCTGCAAATGAAAAGCAAAAATTAAGAAGGTCTTGGAGTGTCTCTGTTCCTAGATCTAAACATAAAGAAAAAATTCTTCCTTTATCTAGAGAACTGCAAAATAATTTAAAAAGACTAAAAATACATGCTTTTCATAGAGCAAAATGGTCAATTGAGCATTCTATATGTAATAATCAGACTCTGGAGGATATTTGGATAAAACTGAACAAAATGATCAAGCATAACGAATTGCCATCCTGCAATGCTACAATTCAGAGAGCTGTGGGCCAGATATGGGTTTTCTGTGACATATTGTACTCTGAATATGTTGGCAGTATTCTTAGGGAAAGGTTAAAGCTTACTGGGAAAATGAACTTGCTTGTACATAAATACGGAAGTATATTTAGTTTGTAACTTGGATTAAGTTAAACTGTAGTATTACTGTCTGGGACACTAGGTTTGGTTTTGTTTTTTCAAAATAAATTTAAAATAAGCAATACATGCTGAAGGACTTTAGAACAACTTACAAATTCACGAGCAGGACACTATTTTAACATTATTCTGGTTACATTTGTTTCCTTGAATGTAATTTTGTTCAACTGTGAATGACATCAATGTATTTTGTAACTTAAATTTTTGCCCTCCCCTCTACGTGGATAGAGCAAGAGTCCATTTTCCGGGACTATTGCTTTTATTTCTGAACAATGAAATTACACCTCTGTGAAGCCAGAGGTCTTTCTCACTCGATTGAAGTTAGGGGAGCCGGGGCGGTGGGGAAAGGGGGCAGAAAGGAAGAACAGAACTTTACATTGTGAAAATCATCTACTTCAGAAAGTGTTTAGTCTTGTCCCAGAGGTCCAAGATGCTAACTCCAGGCAAGAACTTTTACTTGAAAGAACAGCCCTAGTTTTAAATGTGAAATTTCTTGTATTCCACAAAAGCCTTGTTACCTCATACTCATTGTGAATTATTTGCCTCAAATATTGCATAATAATAATAAAAATCCTGAGGTTAGAGAAGTTGTTAATGCTGGAGTAATAAATGTTTTCACTTCTGTTATTTTATGTCTCTTTTGCCAATATCTTTTTTCCCTGCTATCTCTGCTCTTGGATCTCTGTCTTACACTGGGGCTTTTATAAGTATGGTGCTGAAAAACAAGGAAGGCCTAGGTTAATAGATACTAAAATTCCTAATGTCAGGTTGGTAAATTAGTAAATCTTGATTTATTTATTTAAATCTGTGAAACTGTATGTGTTTGTAACATTATTGTCTTTCAATATGAGAATAAGTGCTTTGGTAAGTTAATCTGCTTGGATGGAACATAGTTCGCTGCTGTATGAGAGAACAGACCTGACTTCTGAATTTTACTCCACTCTTAATGTTTTACTTCAGGGGTCTGACACACAGAATTGATACGGTGAAACCTCAACTAGGAATTTGTCACTGCTAATTGTCTTAAGAAAATCTGTCTCCTTGGTGGAGGTGAGGGCCAGTGGGAGGCTGTGCTAATAAGAATAGGAAAAATATATAGGGAGGGGAGATTCTAAATTCTGGGTTGTCCTTAATGCCATTGGGCTGGATCTCAGTACAGAGAAGAATCTTTGTCTACTTCTAACTCTCCAAAGACTAAAAAAATTTCCTAATTATTTCATCCATTTACCTATTCTTATGAATTTGAAAGTATCATCTTGTGTCATCTTGTGACACTGCTTTCTAGTAGAGATAGTACCTGTGTTAATCTGAAGCTAGGAAGAAGATAGAGCAGGGCAGTATGTTAGAGACCTACCTAACTAAGGGTATAAACCAGTGGTTTTCAACCAGGGTGTCCCAAGCTCCTTAGAATGATGCCTTGGTGCCTGGCCCCTGTGAAAAGAGGTAAGCACTGGCTCACCCCTATGCTGGGCACCCTGTGCCTGCCCCAGTATCTAAGCAGCGCTCCCTGTGGCCCCTACCATCAGCTCTGGGAGCATAGGAGGTATGGGAAATGAGCTGAGCTGATAAGCGCTCAGTCTTCACCCCCTGGCAGCCCCCACATGAACCACTGCCATGCTGTGAGTGGCACGTTCTGCCACAGGGCCATGCCCCTGCTCCTCTTAAGCTCCCAGAGTAGATGAGAGGAGCTGTGGGGAATGGTGGTTCCAGGCACTACCACCTAAGTCCATATGGGAGCAGCTGCAGCTCTGATTGGCCAAAGGGCCCCAGTGGCTCTGCCCTTCGCTGCTGATTGGCTGCAAGGGCTGCCTGTCATGCATCCCTGCCCCTTGCTGCCGATTGGAGAGGGGAAGAGCCACATGACAGGGAGCCCTTACAGTCAATCAGGTTGCAGGCGGCAGACATCTTGCCCACAGCCCTTTGAGTGGCCACTTCCTCCCCTTAACATCTTCCTTGCCCCGCTGAACCGGTGGCTGCCTCTAAGGAGCCAGCATTTTCTTTTCCTTGAGTTTTTTTTTTTCTTTTTGCAGATTTCATGAACATTGCCTGGATTTTGCAGAATCTACTATAGCTGTGAAATCACAAATTTGGTAGGCCCCTGGTAATTGAACATCGACTGCCTTTCACTTGTCAACAATGGGAGTTCAGTTCTCCATTACTTAGTGCAGGAATTGGGTTTGGGAGGAAGAAGATGCCTTTAAACTAATTTGCATGTGTTTTCCATATTATGGACCTGGCCCTTGACATAAACCCTAGTAATATCAGTATTAGTAGATCACCCATAAATCAGGTCTCCAGAAATAAGAATGACTTGAAACTCCTGAGATCTTTTATATGTATATGTATGTATGTATATGTATCTTAGATCTTTTTATTTTCTGCTTGATTTTTTGAGTCTTTAGGGTTTACATTGTTAGCTTTTCTCTGCAGGTAGCGCTAGAAACTTTTTAATGAAAGCTGAGATTGTCTTGTAGTTGCAGAAATCTAGGAATTGCATCTTCTTGAGGGTATCAAATATTATGAAAGTTGTTACAATACTCTTTGTATAAGAGGACTATATCTAGATTTTGAACAGTTTGAGGAAAATTTAGTTGGACTTAATAGCTATTTTATGGTTTGATTAGTTTTATAAGAGAGCCGCTGCTTAGGTTTCACTGCTGATTTACATTTTACAATGATATGGCACATGAATTTCTCACTGCAGGAGAAAAAATAAATAAATAATTATAATAAAGCTAGTTCCCCTGAGCCTGCTGAGGGGAAGGGGTGCCAGTTAGGCAGGCAGAGATGTACAGAGAGTGGCGCCTGTCACAGCGGTATGCAGGCAGCAGATCCTGGCTCTGCTCTGAGCTCAGCCAGGATGGGGCTGTGGATGAGTGGGGAGTAAGTGGCTGGGATCCCTGGCTAAGTGGCAGCAGCTCGTGGAACCCAAACAGTAAGTGGCAGCTGGGACCCGCGGACGCAGGGCGCATGGTCAAGCCAATGGGAGCCACCACATAAGGCGTTTTGGTGAGCTGTTGTAGGAGCGAGGGTGCTGACCAAACCTGCAACAGCTTGTGAAAACTCTCTTTGTGACCCACAGGCCCAAATAATTGCCCACCCCTAATTTAGCATTTGTGTTCTAGGTTCCATCCCTTATTTTTTCATTTGAGAGACAATATGTACTGATTAGTACAATATTGATCAGGGCTAACTTCTAGGTGGCTCGGGGCTGCATCCTGCACAGACCACGTGCTACGTGGGCCACAATGCAAGTTGCAGGCATCCCCTTCCCTTGCACTGCTTGTGCAGGTGGCCCCCACTACTAGATGACATGCACAGATGCTTTCCCCCTTCCCGCCCACTACTGCTATACCACATGCATGTGCAGCCTCCCCCAGCTCAGTGGCCATGGGCTCCTCCACTGCAGATGAGCTCCTTGCTGGGCCGCATGTGACCCGCAGGCCACCAGGTGGACAGGCCTGATAAGATGAGGATGGATGATTCAGATAGCATAACTTAAAACAGCCATGCCAATGTAATTTTCTGGGTAACTTTTTGATCACAAGTAAATCTTGCTAATTTAGTCTCTCTCATTATTGGCAGAGTGGTTTTGGCCTTAAGCTGTTACATTTTCATTATTATTTTACAAGGCTGATTAAAAGTTTGTGAACACAACAAACCAATTGCATGAAATGACTTAATTTCTTGAACTTTATAACTCCCTGCTATATATGTTTAGAGAAT